CGTGTAGGTTCTAGAGACTAAATCCAAGTCTTCCAGCTCAGTGGCAAGCACCTTTACCTGCTGCACCGTCTCCCCAGTCCCCAACTTGTTCCCTGAAACAGGGTCTCTCATTTTCTTGCAGCTGGCCAGCAAGCCCTGTAGATCTGCCCATCTTCATCTCCCTAGCGCTGTGATTGCAAGTGGGTGCCGCCATGCCCAGCTTTTTAGGTGAGTTCTGCTAATCAAACTTAGGTCCTCATGCTTGCCTGGCAAGCATTTTACCAACCATCTCTTCTTTATCCCAAGTTTATTAAGCAATATATAAAGCAACAAAGACCTTCATTGTTCAGGAAGGTCTTCTCTGGGCTCCTGACCACATGTCTAGAAGCTCACGGGTAAATGGGTTTGGGCTGGAATGCTGTACATTGTTTCCAAAGGTTGGTGGACGTGATTGGTAGGAACAGCTCTGTAGCATGGCTGACTGGCAGAATTTTTGCAGAGAATTGAGATGAGCTTGGCTGAAAGCCCAGCCATGCTGGTGAAACTGAGAGCTCCCTTGAACCGGACCTGAGGAATCCCCGGCAGTGAGCATGCCTTTGTACAAACTAGTTTTAAAATGCCATGTGTGCTGTAGCTGAAACCAAGATGGCCTGGAGATACTCAACTCTTCTAAGAATTCTGGGCCAGTGCATCAAACTGGTTGTGTTCTTTAGTATCTGGGGCCTCCCTAGAGTTCTCTCTATAGTAGGAATACCTCAGCAGCCCCCAGGCCCACCCACCACTGCCAGGGCCCTTCTGGATTATAGGACCTTGTCTGCCATGCCCCTACACCTACCCTGACCCCCAGGGCCCTAACTTGGAGTAACTGAAGCTGTGGCTACCGGTTGGCAGGGAGGAGGCATCTCCCCATAGTCCCTGATGAAAATGTAAAACTCAGGACTGGGAATGTAGCTCAGTGGTCGAACACTTGCCTTGTACTCCTGAACCACTAGGATTGAGCCTCTGAGCTACAATAAATAAACATGCAAACCAAAACGCACACGCACCCACGAGAGCACATGCAAGCAAGAGGTGGGCCACTACTGCCCAGCTCAGATTTTTCTCTATTTATTTATTTATTTATTTTTGGTGAGATTCTTCAGTGACTGAGTTAGGAGCTGTTCATATTAAACAGGCAGACTTCCTGAAAAGAACTTACATTTATTTCTTCTTACAGTAATAGGAAAGTAGTATCTGTTATAATAATTTAATGCCAGGGTCCTTATTCTTCAAATAACTGCAATATATTTCTGCTGTGCGGCCGCGTCCTCCAGCTCAAAACCTTACTCTGAGAGGGAACAGGGAATGCTCATGGAACTCACAAGAAAGCGGCAAGCTGCAGATGTCTGGCCGTCTCTGTACTGTTTACACAAACAGTACACACGTGCTGTGGAGGGGAGACTCGAGTGGAACTGCCTGCAAGTTGTACTTGGAGCTCCAGAGATGATTTTTGTGGTTTGTCGCCCTTGCTAGGGTGGCCTTTACAGTAATGCAGGTGCCTCTCGTCCAGCTATGCTCCTGAGAGTGACCTCAGTAAAGTCACTGGCTCACTGGGCTGGACTTGAGCAGACTCCGAATTGTTTTGTCGTCTGTCCCAAGTGTCTTATCTGAGATGAGCTGACATTTCTTTATATGGTGTCAGGAAAGTCATGCAGCTTTAGATTAGGTTGCACAAGAGATTAAAGTAGAGAGGAAGGATATTGAGAGGAAATGGAGAAAGTGAACCAGGCAGGATGTGAGAGCAGTCTGTAGGTCAGGCAGAGGGTCATGAGTTCAAGATCTGCCTGGATGATACAGTGTGTACAGGGCCATGTGGTGAGTCTCTATTTAACGACATATAGACTTGGGCAGCTTCAGGCCAGGACAGATCTTTCAGCTCACTCTTAGCCAAGAATGAGACTCAGCCTGCCAGTGTACATGTCAGTTAAGTCAGATTTTCACATAGGGGAAACCATTGATTCCAAATCACCGTTTAGAAAACATTTTGAGCCAGGTGTTGGTACATGCATTTAATCCTAGCACTCCAGAGGCAGAGACTGGTGCATCTCTGTGAGTTTGAGGCCAGCTTGGTCTACAGAGGCAGTTCCAGGACAGGCTCCAAAGCTACAGAGAGAAGCCCTGTCTTGGAAAAAACAAACAAACAGACAGACAGACAAAAAGATGTACACCACCACACCTAGCTCTCTCAGGCATCTTACCAACTGAGCCATTTCCCAAGCCCCCTTTTTTTGTTTGTTTTTGTTGTTTGTTTTGAGACAAGATCTTCCCATATTGATCAGCTTGGCCCAGGCTCAAGAAGACTCCTTCTATCTCAGCTTCCCGAGTAGTCCTCAAGCTTATTCTATAGGTACAGCCTTGTTCCAATGTGAAGACATCACCAATTGAACCAAAAGATGGACAAGCTGGAGATGATCCAAATCCCCTGCTACTGGTAAGTGGTTCATTTCTAGAACTTCGCCGAACCGTTTTGCTGTCTGAGGCACCTGAAAGAACTGCTTCCTTAGCTCAATCACTGACTGCAGAAGCAAAGTCAAGGGCAGGGGATGAGGTCAGAGGCCCCCGAACAGGTCATGTGTATGGACAGCTGAGGCTTATCAACATTGAAACCAGCACAGCACCAGAACATGTCCAGGAAGTGTTTTGAATATTAAGCTGAGGCACAAGTGCAGGGCCAGGATGTGTTGTCATCAGTATACTGGATGCTAGGCAGAGCTCCCTGCGCTAAGTAAGGCCCCAGAGCAGGGTTGAGGGTAACTACCCTGATTAATCTGGAAGGGAGAGAGTTCCTGATGTCAGAAACGGGCATGGTCTTGGACCCTGGGTTTCTGTTCTAGATTTAGGGGGTGATCTGCCCACGTTTGGAAGAGGTTGTTGGGACTAGCTAAAAGGAAGTCTCTCTTTACAAAGTTCAGAGTAATTGGAATGTGTGGTACCCTAGAACTGCCACACCCCCAATGTCAAGAAAGCAGCAGCAAGATAGATTTAGAGGGCATAAAAGACAATACATACAATGCATAAAGTATTGTAACCAGGGTAACTGAGGCTGGCACAGTGGCTCAGGGGACCATTGGCTGCAAGCTGAGCTGTGCTTGATCCCCAGAACCCGAGCTAAGGGGGGAGGAGAGAGCTGGCTCCACAAAGTTGTCCTCAGTGAGACAGCACACACATCACACACACAGCAACAACAATACATTAAAAAGCAAAGCTTAAAGAAATTATCATGACTACCCTTTCCACTCAGCACCTACACTATACATGAACTTATACACTGGGTTTCAGAACACCTGTGGCGCCAAAATGCAAGGATGGTCAAAGCCTTTCTATAAAATAGCACAGTATTACATGTATGGTCTCAGTGGGTAGGGTGCTTGTCTAGCATATAGGAAGCCCTGGTTTGGTCCCTAGCACCACATAAACTGGGTGTGGTGGCACATGCATCCCTGTAATCTCAGCAAGCAGGGATTAGAATATTGTTTCTACAAGCCAAGTAGCAGGATTGCTGGCAATCTTTTTTTTTTTTTCTGTTTTAAGCCACTCAATTTGTGATTCTGTACTCACACACATCAAATTCACACAGTTCTAACTCAGTCATCAAATTCATAGTCACCCCAGGACCTGTGCACGCACTTACTCACCTGGCCTGAGCCCATGTTTTTCCATAGTTTGCTCCATCTTGTTAATCCTGGCACTTCCTCCTGGAGGCCAACCCCACCCCAGCCATTCCCACTGTTCCCATCCTCATGCTTGACTTTTCACAACGCCATGAGCTCCTCATCCATGTCTTGCCTTCATTACTGTAAGCCTTCCTGCCTTGAGTTTGAGTTCAATGAGAAGACCGTCTACCTCCCTTGCTACTGCCTAGATTGCCACTACCTAGAATAGTGTCTAGAACACTCAGTTGTTGTTTCGTACGTGAAAACCAGATGAATGACTGTGAGCTGTTGACTTCAGCCTCTGAAGGACTGGGAGTTCCAACACTGGCTTCCCTGTGACTCATGCATGCGAGCTGGGGAAATCCCTGCCCAGCTCCGAGCTCCAGTCTGCCATCTTCCAAAAGAAGGCGTCCCTGCTTTTAAGTTCCTACCTGTAGAAGCTGAAGGTAACAGAGACAGCAAACTGCAAGCCAGCACTTGAACTTAAGACTGTCCATCTGTCTCTTTTTCTTGTCGTCCACTGGGGGCTGAGGAATCTTATTATCTGAATGCTTATCTGCATCCAACTCAGGAGGAAAAAGTTAGCCTCATCTTGCCAAAGGATCAAGGAGGGACAGAAACTGGAAATGAAATTACAACAGAAACTTGGACCCATGGCAGACTCAAACCAGTACATCTCCTTTCCATCTCTGAACTGGGAACCGAAACCATTCCATAGGAAGCGCCCCCTTCCTCTTCCTGGGGTTGGAAAAAAAATACCACTGTGGTCTGATTCTTTTTTTAATGTACAGCTATTAATAGCAATGCTCACCACACTGTCATGGGAAAGCTCCTTTGTAAGCTCTTCTATACAGCCTTCCCACATGCAACGGCCTTATGTTTTCCCTACCTATCCACTTAGCTGTTCCATGACAGAGCTCTGTGCCCTTCTGTGCTTTGCAGGCACTGGATTTCCCTGCTAGGATACAGTTCATAGCCCATACAGGTCTTAAGTAAGAAGCCCATTTCTGTGAACTCTAACCCAGACAAATGCCACAGCAGACTGTCTCCTATTGAAATTTATTGAAATGGTAGATAGAAGTACAGAAACACAAGCAAATGAACCCAGGAGGATTCCACCCACCCCCTCTTAACCACTGACACGTTTAAATCCCTTTTAGAAAGAAAGGCAGGCAGAGGAGGGAAGCAGCTGTCTTCCCCCCGAAGCCTTTTAAAACTGCTCAGCTGAATTTCTTGCCGAATGTTTAATTCCCTCCAACGCTATTAGTCCAGTCCCTCCTGGGGCTATCCTCTTACCACCATCCATTGGAGACTCCCAGAACAAAGCTTTTGAATCCCCCCCCCCCACTCCATTTCTGCTAGTCTGGTGGAAAGGTGAATTGGTTCCACAGAACCCAAGTGACCTACTGGCTTGTTCAGTGACACCTGGGTAGAGATCCTCTCCAGATCCTTGGCTCTCCTTGTCCCTACTGGGGCCCACAGACAGGTTAGGCAGGACCCTGGGGGCTGAAGGACCACCCGAGGCTTTGAGCAGACTGAGGAAGGAAGCCAAGATGCCATCGGTAGGGATGGGTGTGTCTGTCCTCTTCAGCCCCGCATGCTTGGGAGACTAAGAAGTTTCTACCACCTGGGAACTTTACTTTCTGCTCCTCTGAGATTCCTGTGGCAGCACCTTTACACCCGAGTCGCTGACTCCACCTCGGCGTTTCTCTGAATCAGATTCTCTGAACCTGGAAGTTCCGAGAAAGTGCGAGCCAAGTCTCAAGATGTTACTCTGTGCAACAGCCAAATTGTCTCTCCAGAGAGCGCAGGCCTGAGGGGCAACCTCCTTTCTTGGCATAGTGGCCTAACGAGATGTTGTGGCCAGATAAGGGGGGCTGCGTGGCTCGCTGGGGTCATCCATTAATGCTTCTGGAACACTTCTGACTGTGCTGGGGTCCCCTGTGAGCTCCACGCTTGTGCTCCGGTTGTCTGTTTCACCCAGTGTTTTCTTGCGAAGGCAGCGGTTGATACATGTAGAGAAGAAGTTGGGGAAAGATGGGCTGGAAAAATAGTAGACCAGTGGGTCCAGCATGCTGTTCATATAGGTAAAGCTGAGAGTAGTGAAGAAGGCCAGGTCCGCCGAGGAGTAGATCTCACAGTTATGCACATTATTTTTGTAGAGGAGCCAGAAGATTCGGATCCGCACAGCCACACTGGGCAGGAAGCAGATGATGAAGACAATAGTCACCACCAAGATGAAGTTGATAGCCCTCTTGATCTTGGCATGTCTGTCCATTTGTCTCTGCCGTAGGCTCCAGATGATCCTGGCTGAGCAGAACAGGATGATGCCCAGCGGCAAGACGAATTCCAGGAGGAACATTGCATCATGCCACCTGAAGGTATAACAGATGCTAAAGCTACTGCACAGATTTGCATTGCCGTTGGGGGTCATCATGTTCGTATAGAGGAGATGGACTGTCAGGCCGATGGTGATACCCCACAAGAAACAAGAGATGATGGCTGCCGTCCGGTTGGAGATCTTGTTCAGGGAATGGTGTGGATGGACCACCCTGAAGTACCGGTCCACAGCCACCACAGTGAGGAAGATGATGCTGCCTTGTCGGTTCATGGCCAACATGAAGAGCATCAGACGGCAGGGGATGTCTCCAAACCTCCAGTCCCACTTTTTGACATAGTTGTCCATCAGGAAGGGCAAGCAGATGATCAGGAGAAAGTCAGCTACGGCCAAGTTGAACAGGAAAATCCGGCTGGATTTCCAGGACTTCAGATGGAAACAGAAAATCCACAGGGCAAGGCCATTGCCCAGGAGCCCAAACACAAACTCCAATCCCAACACCGGCGGCAAGACTTTGGCAATGTTTTCATCTCGGAACACACAGCAGTTCTTGCCATTTATCACCAGAAAATGGTTCTGTTTGATCATGAGTGGATCTGGTCAGTCCGCCCCAGAGCGCCTCACCTAGCAAAAGCTCAAGGCAAGTGTGTGTCTGTGTGGTGAACGTGTGGTTCAGCCCTCAGCTTTATGTCATGTCAGGGTGTTGAAAGAGATGACTGAATGGTTACCAGGAAACTACGAAATCATTTAAAAAAAAAAAAAAAAAAAAAAAAAGCTAGCAAGGCTCTTATGCAACTTGCTGTTTGCATAAACAAGTAATAAAAAAAATCCCCTAGGCAGATGGGAACCCACAAATTTTTCTAAATGTAAAGGATAAGTTCAGGCAAGCAGACTGTCAGTTGTGAATGAGTAAGATCTGGGGGCATTCCTTCTGAAGGCTGCATGCATGCACCGTGGTTAGTTAATTGACCTTGGAGAATCCATTCACTGCCATTTGTTTGGCTTACACAATTAACAAATTAACAGTGGCAGTAACCGCACACTGTGCTAAATGAACAGCAAGGGTTTCAGAAGCAATAAGAATTAATGTGAAATTTTACCATGCAGATACAGTGTCCTCTCTCTCCCTTTTCTTCCTAGGATTTACATGTATTATTAATGACATGTATGCATGTGTGTCTGTGTGGGTATGTACACATAACTGCAGGCGCCCCCAAAGGCTATCGGATGCCCTGGAGCTGGAGCTGCACCTAATGCGGGTGCAGGGAGCTGAACTCAGGCTCTCCGCAGGGGCAGTGTGCTCTTAACTGCTGAGTCAGCCCTTTAGTGCCACTCTTTGCTTTCTTTCTCGACGACAGAACCTGGCTGCGCCAGCCCAGCAGGCTTTAAATTCCCCATCTTCTGGCTTCTGCTTCTTCCCAAGTTCTGGGACTGCAGGCATGCAGCACCATGCCTGGCTGTGTGGTGTCTGTAAAATTAGATTTGGATTTCAAGCCCCAAGAGGATGTGGAGCTCTGCCTTGCAAAAAACCTTGCCCTCCTTTTTCAAAGTGTGATTGTCATCCTCTGAAGTATCCGCCGCTGAGTATTTTGGCATACATAAACATAACATATATGCATAAGGTTTATGAATTTTTTTGGTTCTCCTTTGAGTTAGAAGTTGGAATTTTACCCCTTTAGTTGCAAATCCACTAATGGTATTTGGTAAACCTCTGCAGACTAGACTCCGAGTGACCTAATCTTAGATTCCTAAAGGATTAGTGACAGTTCATGGAAACAATAGCAATGAAGGTGGGGATCTTGAGGTCAGTGGCACCCACATTGCAGTTTCCAATGTGCCAGACTCCGTGCCTTAAAGAGTCATTGGGTTTTCAATGTGTATGAGTGTTTGGGTCGGAATGTTACATCCACCATGTGCTGTACTGTGTGGTACGGCCTTGTTTTATCCTCTGTAGTCCATGGGAAGGTGAAGTTCAAAGAGGGAATGTGCCCAGGATGACCCGGCGGAACTTGGGTCTGAGTCTGGTGGACCTCAAGCCTCTGCCCTCATCACTGTGGCATACTACTTTTTCTTCATTATTTATTGAAAATTTTTAATTACATTCATTTATTTGGGAAGGGAGGAGATAAATGCCATAGCACATGTGTAGAGGTCAGAGGAGAATCTAAAATAATCGGCTCACTCCTACCTGGGTGTTGAACTCAGGCTGTCACACTTGGCAGCCAGCACCTTTCCTCAATACACCATCCTGCCAAACCATACTGTATTTTTAAAAAGATTCTTTGAGACATTTGCTTTTAAAAAAAAAGTGTGTGGGCATGTGTGTGTGTGTCTTTGTGTAAGTGTGTTCCTGTGAGTCCTGCTGCCCTCAGAGACCAGGAGAAGGTGTCAAGTTCCCCGAAGCGGCAGTTATAGGTAGACATGAGTCTCCTGATATGGGTGCTGGGAATTGAATTCAAGTTCTCTGCAAGAGCTAAATGGGGGTTGAGACAGCAACTCGCTATGTAGCCCAGGCTGGACTCACGCACCACGCCTGACCACTGCCTCTTCTTCGATTGCCTTGAGATTAGCTGGCATTAACATTTGTTGCCTTGCTACCTGTGTATGCTGGTAGTGCTCCCACCCTGGATAAATGTGGACTTACTGATGGCACGCGTGTGTTGTGGTTTGTATGTAAAGAGCCCTTCTTCAGGCTCCCAGGTTTGAACAGTTGCTCCCCAGCTTCTGGTGCTACTTTGGGAAACTGGACAACTTTGTCGATGGTAGCTATTATAGACAGATCACTAGGGATAGGGCCTGGAAGGTTATATCCACTTTTGGTTGAGGCCTGCTGTCCTCTCCTCCTGGTCCAGCCACCCTGTGAGGAACTCTGCCATGTGTCCCTGCTACCACGGGCTGAGCTGCTCCTGACATCATGCTCCTGTGTGTCACAATGGACTGTGACACTTCTTCAAAACAGATTCTCTGCTCTAAGTCTTTTCTGTCCAGTATTTGGTCACAACAACATGAAAGTAACTCACACAATGCCCATGACGTAATCCTATGGGCCTTGTGGACTAAGAGTCAGGGAAACCACCAGGACTCATTGCTTTTGTCATTCAGAACCTGCAGGGTCTCCTTCCTAAGCTTTAGGGTTTTGTAAACGTGTGTGCACATGCATGTGTGTGCAGGCGTGCTTGCCTGTATGTGCACGTGTGGTGACAGAAGGCTGACTTTGAATGGCTTCTTGAGCTGCTGCCCACTTTCTTCTTTTGAGCCCACTTTCTTCTTTCTTCTTATTAAACCCAGAACTCGGCTATCTAGCCAACAAATCCCCCACAGCCACCTATCTTGACCTGCCTGGGGTTACAGGCATGTGCCGCCATGCCTGCCTTCATGTATGGGGTGCTGTAGTTCTGAACTCAGGTCTCCTCATGTTTACACAGCAAGCTCCTTACCTACTGAGCCATCTTGCCAGCCTCTTACCCCCCCTCCTTTAAAACAAAAATTTAAACAATAAAGCTAGGCATCCTGTAATCCCAGTATTTGAAAGAAAAAGGCAGAAAGATCGGGAATTCAAGGCTAGTCTCAGTTCTTGTGGGAGTTCAAGGCCAGCCTGAGCTACATGAGACCCTGTATCAAGACAAAGGCAAAGGAGGAGGAGAAGGAGCCATTATAATGGTTAGCTCTAACTGTCAACACAACCTAGACTCATTTGGAAAGAGAGCTTCAGTGAGTGTTGTCTTGAGTTTGCCTGTGGGTATGTCTGTAGGGGAGTGTCCTAATTGATGTAAGCAGACCCCGGGCCACTATGGGCAGTACCGTTCCCTGGGCAGGGGTCTCTGATTAAGAGTGGAGAAACTGAGCTGAGCGTAAGGCGAGCAAGTAAGAGAACCTGCATACATTCATCTCTCTGTGCTCATCTGTATGGATACAATGTAACCAGCTACCTCAACTTCCTGCCTCCACTTCCCCACAAAAGCTGACTGGAAAGACAAACTGAAATAAACCCTTTTCCCCCTTACCCTGCTTTCCTCCAGGGTATTTTCTCACAGCAAACAGAAATGAAACCAGACAGTCATGAATAAATCTTTCTTTTTGGGGGGTGTGGGGGTTTCTTTTTAGAGACAGAATTTCTCTATGTAGCCCTCAGTGGCCTGGAACCTACTCTGTAAACCAGGCTGGCCTGGAACTCAGAGGTCAACCTGCCTCTGCTGGGTGTAAAGGCATTTGCCACCACCCCTCAACCTATCACAGTCAGAACGAGAATTAACAACAAATAGTCTGGAAAAGGAGAAAAGCTGGTAGCTTATTTTGGCTCCATCCTTAGCGGGCTGTGAAGCCCCCTTACTTGCCCCTGGGCTTCCTCTGGTGGAAACTGAGGAACTAGGTGACGCAGCTCCTTCCCCCAGCCCCAGCTTCCTACAATGCTCACATTCAAAGTTTCTAAACAGGAAGTTGAGAGCTGCTCAGAGGGAATGTAAACTGAAGTCTCTGGGTGCCAGGGCCTGGTACAGAATTTCCAGTCTTCCCACCTTGGAAGGGCACGCCTTGTCTTGTGCTGGTCTTTCTTTTCTGTATTTTTTTTTCTTACTGATGCATGAGCTGTACAGAAACTTGTTACGGCGGATCGGCGGATCATTCAGAGGCAGGTCATGAGTCTACAGTCTGGTGGGAAGGAAATGAGCCTCAGAAGTATGACCTCTCAAAACCAACCTGACCCCTACACTGGGGGGGGGGGCGGACAACCAGAAGGTCTGCCCTGGTACTCAGAGAAGTTATTATTAATTGAGTTTTCAGGTGCACAGGGTTTCAGTATGTTGCCCAGGGTTAACCTTGAGCTTTGGGTCAAGGGACTCTCCTTCTCCAACCCTCTGGGTAACTGGGGCTACAGATGTTTGCCGCTGCACCCAGCAGTTTTTACAAGTTTGATAACATCACGGTGGTATATGCCTGTGAGCTGAGAACTCAGGAAGCAAGCAGAGGCAGGAGGATCCTGTAAGTTCATGGCCAGCCTGGTCTGTATGGTAAATTCCAGGCCAGTCAGGAGGACTACATAAACCCTGTCTCAAAAGATCAACAACAACAAAAACTAATTAAAAAGCAATAAATAAAGCCAAGGGGTGGTGGCACACACTTTTAATCCCAGCACTGGGAGACAGAGGCAATCGGATCTCTGAGTTTGAGGCCAACCTTGTCCACATAGTGAGTTCTGGGTCAGTCATAACTATATATGAAGGCCTCGTCTCAAAACAAAATAAAATATTAAGCAAATAAATATACTAAGGCCAGAGCTATAGCTCAGTGATAGATCACTCGCTAGCATAACTGACATCCTGAGTTTGGTCCCCAACACTACCAAAGTGAAATAAGAATACCAGCTGTCGCCAGCTGGTGGTGGTAGACACCCTTAATCCCAGCACTCCGGAGCAGAGGCAGGCAGATCTCTGTGAGTTTGAGGCCAGCCTGGGCTACAGAGTGAGTTGCAGGACAACCAGGGTTGTTACACAGAAAAACCCTGTCTCAAAAAAAAAAGGAGGAGGAGGAAGATCAGCTGTCTTTTGTCAATTCCTTGCTGTGCTTCAGGCATTGTACTGAGATTTCTGAAGGAGACCCCCCCCCCAACGTGGGAGCATCCTCCTGAACCCTAAATCAGGCACAAACCACACCTAAACATCTGTTTTCATAGAGAGAACCTTTATTAATCGGGGGAGAAAAGTTAAAGTGGCTGCTTTCTGACT